AGATAACTATAATCTCAGTACCTTCATTGAGATAAGAGGCAGATGTGCTAGCAGATAACTATAATCTCAGCACCTTCATTGTGATAAGAGGCAGAGAGGAGACTTGCCTGAAAGCTCACATTCCAGTTAGCAACAGCCAAAAAAATGAGACTCTGTCCAAGAGGGAGGCAAGAACTGAACCCCAAAAGTTATTTTGACCTCCACATGCTTGATTCTGGCATATGCACACCTGCATTTACACAAGCACACACATACAGACACACAGACAAAACAATAACAAAAAAAGAAAGAAAAAATCCTTCTTCATTCATACTGCAAAGTGTAAATAGCATAAAAGTTGCAGAAATAAGTAACTAAATGCATCTTTCTGAAATTATCATAAAACCAGATCATTATTGCCTCTTTTATGAAAGATTTTAGTGTAAGATTTCTTGATTACAATCTATTCTTCATATATATATTATCTAAACAAAAATTAACATTATAGTCAGAAATGGATACCAGTATCAGTAACCTTAGGTACTTGGGCAGCTGATGCAGATAGATCCCAATTCAAGGGCAACCTGGGCAAAACCCTGTCTCAAAATAAAAGAAGCTGCAGGTATAGTTCATTGATAGAAAGCTTGCTTAGCATTATGTCCTGGATCCAGTCTTTAATCTCAATCTCTGTCTCGGTCTCTCAGACACACACATACACACACAAGACACATGCAATGATAGAAAATCACAGAAAAGAACATATAAAAATGCTGATGCCAACCCCTCACCAGCTACAGTACTCAGAAGAACAGGCCCTATGCCTTGCCTGGGCAGCACAGCAGAGTTGACCCTGTAGACAAGGGTGCTGGTGAGCCAGCCCTGAAGGTGTGAGAAGGGCACAGCTGGTACTGTTTAATCTCGTCTGCAGAATGGTGGTGGGAGTGAGGGTAAGATGCCCCCGCTTACTGCTCCCTCCAGCTGGTGAGGGAGCTGACCTTCCCCTTTACCAGCTGCAACATTTGGGAAAGTGGGCCTTGCACCTTGCCTGGGTAGCATAAAGGAGCTGACCCTGTTGACCAGGGCACAGGTAAGCCACCCAAGAGAATGTGAGCGTGACACATTTGGCTTCACCATAGGGTGGCATGGGCGGGGAAGAGATTCCCCAACCTCCCCGCCCCCATGCCTGAGGCAGGTAGAGAACCTTGAGGTCATAAGAGCAGGAGAGCTGCCCCTGCCACTCCCCAGCTGCAGGACTAGGGAGAGCAGGCCCTGCACCTCACCTGGGCAGCACAGTAGAGCTGACCCTGTTGGCAGAGGTGTGGGGGAGCCAGCCCCGAAGTTGTGAACATGGGAGAGCTGTCTCCAACTATCCGTCTGTCATGTGGTGGGTAGGCTAGGAAGAAATGTCCCCCCTTACTCCTTGCCCCTTGCTGCCTACTCCCCCTTACAAGCTGTAGGTACTCAGGAAAGTGGGCCCTGCTCCTTGCCTGGGTCACATAGTTGGGTGCAGGGCCTGCTCTCACACCCTGTTGGCAGAGGCCCAGGTGAGCTGGCTCTGAGGCTGTCAGAGTGGGATAGCTGGACACCTCCCCCCATCTGCCGTGTGGTAGTGAGGGCAGGGAAAGATGCCTTCCCCCTTTGCCCCTGCCACGTGTGGTGAGTGAGAGAGCTGACCCTGCCCCCTACCAGCTTCAGCACCCGGAAAGTGGGCCCTGAATCTCACCTGGGCAGCACGGCAGAGTCGATTCCGCTCCTCATCTGCCATATGGTAGTGTGGGTGGGGAAGAGATGCCCTGACCCTAAAGCTGCAGGTCCAAAGCTACAGGATCTCCACAACACAGGGCAACAATAGGACATACAAGAGAAGTCCCAGTGAGGACCCAGAATCAGTAGTGTAATAGAAACCAGAGGCCTTGAACTAGACCAGTGATTCTTTGCAATGAATACTTGCAAGTAAAGATATATGGACAAAAGGGTTAACTAGTGACTCACTGTGCCACACAACAGCTTCCATCTATGACAACATGACAAGATTATTCTTTCCTCTTTTTTTCTCTCTTAAATTTTATTTATGGGGAGGGGACTATAAGGGCACACGTGGATATGAAAGGATGGAGAAATGTGTGGGATCAAGATGTATGATGTGAAAGACACAAAGAATAAATACAAAGAAAGTTAAAAAAAATAAATCTGAAAAAAATCAGAGGTCTGGAGAAAGACACAAAATAACTATTAGGAATTTAACTATCAGGTATTTCATTATTGTATACGTATATATAAAATAAATTCATTTAAAAATTTTAAAAAGGTGAAAACAACTATTATTAGGGTATAAAAAAGCTTTACAATTTTAAATTTGTGTAAGAAATGTTTTAAAAAGAAAGCAAAAAAGGACTTGTAGGTAAGATGGCACCTTAGGCCACAGGACTTGTAGGTAAGATGGCACCTTAGAAGCCATGTCAGAACCAGTGCCTGATTACTGCCATCAGAAACAGAACAGAAATATTTTATTACTCCATCATCTACTTCTCCAGTCTCTGAACTGATCTGATCAAGAGTCAACAAACATCTTCAACCATTAGACCATGAACTTCCTCTATCATCAGACTGAACTTGATGCTACAACTGAAACCAAGCAGCTGTTGCCGCCACAGCAACATTTTATTACAGGCAAACTTGACTAAAGGACTCCAAAAGGAAAGACACCAAAGCAGTGTTAGTAGAGATTTCAGAAACTGCTGCCAGGGTCACCATCAGTGCCCCAGTTGGAAAAGGCTAAGCTATCAGAGGTAAACATAAGCTATAAACAGTGCCATAGGTACTGCACAGTTACCAGCTGCTCCAGCTCTGGGGCAGGAAGGTGGAGACTGCCTAGGCTAGCCACAGCCTACTTAACAGAAAACTCCATACACATGCAAGGGGAGGGGGAGTCCACAAGAGAACAGGACCCTAAAAGTCAAGAGTACAGCCCAGACACAGGCCAGGGAGACAAAGCATTTATATCCCCATACCTTCCCTACAACTATTTCTTATCTTTATAAGCACAGTAGGGAGCCTGGCATGGTGGTGCAAAACCTTTAATCCCAGCATTCAGTAAGGAGGCAGAACAGGTGGATCTAAGTTCAAGGCCAGCCTCATCTAAATAACAAGTTCCAGGACACCCTTGGGCCATATAAAAAGACCCAGTTTCAAAAAGATTTTAAAAAAGGACAGTACAATAGGGCTTTGTACATGCTTATTACTATTTTACTCTCATTATTCATTTTTTTTCCTTTCTCTTTTCAGCATCTATCCCTCCTCATGTTGTATCTCTAAAAGCCAAGAGGCTTACCTAGTTAACTAAAACTCCCATATACCCAACCCATTTTTTTAAAACTTTGAATCAATTGTTCCAATTGCTACATATGTCAATACTTATCACCAGTCTAGCTGGATTGCTTACGTCTTTCTTTTCCACTCTACTCATATTGTCAGTATACACAATACCACTGGGGTCCCTTTATCCCTAACTGATACTTAAGGGTCAAGGAATATAGAAATATAAAATTATAAACTTAAGGAATGGCAACTGACAGCCATCAGCTTGGCTAACAAAAAAAAAAAAAAAGATTAACCTTTAACTGGGCCCCTCTGTGTTTTAAGATGGACAGCTCTGTCAACAAACCAAATGTTAATTTACTTTTACTAAAGATTGCCCTTTGCAGCCCTGGGTTAGCTATTCTTCAATAACCCCCTACCACTCACAAATGAAACCAAAGTTAACTTTTTTTTTTAAGATTTATTTATTTATTATGTATACAACATTCTGCCTCCATGTATCATTGCATGCCAGAAGAGGGCACCAGATCTCATTATAGATGGCTGTGAGCCACCATGTAGGTGCTGGGAATTGAACTCAGGACCTCTGGAAGAGTAGTCAATGCTCTTAACCGCTGAGCCATCTCTCCAGCCCCTCAATGTTAACTTTTAATAGTTGTTTCTACATGACTTCTAGCAGCTGGGCAATGGTGGCTCATGCCTTTAATCCCAGCACTCGTTAAGCAGAGGCAGGCAGTGAGATCAAGGCCAGCCTGGACTACAGAGTGAGTTCAATGCTCTTAAGCGCTGAGCCATCTCTCCAGCCCCTCAATGTTAACTTTTAATAGTTGTTTCTACATGACTTCTAGCAGCTGGGCAGTGGTGGCTCATGCCTTTAATCCCAGCACTCATTAGGCAGAGGCAGGCAGTGAGATCAAGGCCAGCCTGGACTACAGAGTGAGTTCCAGGAAAAGCTCCAAAGCTACACAGAGAAACCCTGTCTCAAAAAAATAAAAAAAACAAACAACAAAAACCAAACAAACAAACAAAAAACCAAGCAAGACTTCTAGCATGCATCCCATGCCTGATATTTCTACATGACTCCAAGCATGTACCCTGTGCTTGATACTATAAAAAGGGGCCAGTACCCACCTACATTGCCACAGCCTAAGAATTCCAACATTGGCTGTGGGCTCAGTTAGCTGATAAGCTTTTGTGCTCCGCAGTGTTTTATAATTTTTTTTTTTATTTTTCTGGAATGAAGTTTGCTTCTGGTTTAATAGATTTTGGTGGCCTGTCCCCATTATTGAGAGATCCCAGACCCAACAATACTTTAAAATTTTAGAAACATGCTACTTGATTATTGGAACTGGTTAACCAAGAGAATATTGGCTGTTACTGCAGAGGGTACTCAACTCACAGAGGCAAAGCAGAGATAGAGCCCAGTGCCTAGAAAACCAGTCTACCAGAAAAAAACAAAATCACAATTATACTACAGCCTAGTCTCTCCTGAACACTACAAACTCATTCAATGGCAGAAAACCCTGAATTAAAAGAACAAAAACAACAGTAAACCTTAACTAAAAATCTAATCCCAGAAGTGCAGATCCCACAGCAAAACACAAGTAACATAAAGAACCAAGACAACGTTGTTTCTTCCAAAAATTATCAATCCCATATGTTGTGGGACATGCTCTTGTACACTGTAAAGATTTGTCAATCGAATTGGTTTAATAAAATGCTGATTGGCCAGAAGCAAGCAGGAAGTATAGGTGGGATGACCAGATAAGGAGAATTCTGGAAAGTGGAAGAGCAGAGTCAGGGGTCACCAGCCAGATGCAGAGGAAGCAAGATGAGCATGTCACACTAAGAAAAGGTACCAAGCCACATGCCTAAACATAGATAAGAATTATGGGTTAATTTAAGTATAAGATCTAGTTAGTAATAAGCCTGAGCTACCAGCCAAACATTTCTAAGTAATATTAAGCCTCTGAGCCCAATTATATGGGAAGTGGCTGCTGGATACTTGGGAACAGGCAGGTGGAGAGAAACTTCTGCCTACACCCATATTAATGACCTCTGATTAAAATGACTTAAATGAAATTCCAGATGCAGAATTTCAAAGAATGTTTATGAATATGGTAAAACAACTCAAAGACTTGAGTATTTTCAAAGAGAACATGCTGTGGGATGTTAATGTATGTCCTGTGGGAGCCCTTCTTGGGTTCTTTGTGGCGTTGCTCAGCAGGTTTGCATAGAGGATGATTAGGACCATGGGCCTGAGTGCAGGTGTCTGAGATGGTCTGCACTTGGCTGTACTGGGGGATGGTCTGTATGTCAAGT